AAATCTCAAAATGTTTCCATCTGATATCATATAAATATTTTAAAATTTCGTAAAATTTAATTAAAATAAATTAATTAGGTTAAAAAGAAGGAAAATTTTTGAAAAAAAAATCATCCAAAAACCTTCCCTGGGGTTAAGCGTTGTTACGCAAGGAATCGGTTATGGAACTAGATTCGTCTGATAAAATGAAAACCCTTCACCTAGATTCCATTTTTGTAGGCCGGATACTTGTATCCTGTAGTTCCAATATCTCATAATAATGATTTCAGACCATTCTTCTGGAACTTACATATCTACGGATCAAATCTAGCACAAAATGGAATGTTTTAGATATAAAAAACTACGTAATTTATACAAATACAAAATGTTAAAAGAATAAATATTATACAAAACCACGGATTCTAAAATATGAGATTGAGAAAATTACGGGACATATTCCTTTTAATGCGCGGCAGGAAATTTAAACTAGGTTCAGAAAAATAAATGTGGTACTTACATAAGCTGGCATCCTGATAAATGAAACAATAGGGTATCAGTCTAAGCCAAAAATTGCGAGATCTGAAATGATAAATCTAACGACACAATTCAAAGACAAGGCATATATATGTTAACTGATCAAGCCCGGTATCTATAGAATGGTATCTAGAATGAGTCTGATTTATCATTTCCCAGGTAGATCTCAGTTTAGAGTAACCAATAGTAGGATTGCTTACATTACCGGACATATACGTCCAATCAGGAGACTCCAACTCAACTTGGTACAATGAGTCTCACTAAATAATAATGATTTTGTCTATTTTCGAAAACCCTGAATATACGTGTAACAAGCGTGGTCCCATAAAATATTTGGGCCTTATCGGTTCAGTTGTTTTGACGTTTATTGGACACTTAAACGAACAGACACCCAAACAGAAAGAGAAGCTAAGTATGTTATATATATATTACATTAATTATTTGTTTCACTTTCTTTTGATTTTTTAATTCAAACATTTATCATGTTTATCTTATGCTTTTTATGCTGTAGTGATGTGCTTTTAAAGTTTGTATGTTTGTGTGTGACCGTGTAAGTTTAGTGTCTGTCTGTTTGACTGTCCTGCTGGTGATGCTGTGACAGCAGATTTTCCAATAGGAGTTGATTGGTTTAATCATTCCCTTGGGACACACTTACACACTCACATCTTTGATTACAAATCAAAATTATCTTATCTCTTATTCTTTTCTTCTTAACCTTTTCCTTTAAACTTCTAATCTCTTATTCTTTTCTTCTTAATCTTTTTCTTTAAACTTCTAATCTCTTATTCTTTTCTTCTTTTCCTTTCCCTTTAAACTTCTAATCTCTTATTCTTTTCTTCTTAACCTTTTCTTTTAAACTTCTAATCTCTTATTCTTTTATTCTTTTCTTTTCCTTTAAACTTCTAATCTTATATTCTTTTCTTTTTAACCTTTTCCTTTTTACCTTCTAATCTCTTATGCTTTTCTTTCAATCCTTTTCTTGGTAAACTTCTAATCTCTTATTCTTTTCTTCTTAACATTTTCCTTTAAACTTCTAATCTCTTATTCTGTTCTTCTTAACATTTTCCTTTCACCTTCTAATCTCTCATTCTTTTCTTCTTAACATTTTCCGTTAAACTTCTAATCTCTTATTCTTTTCTTCTTAACATTTTCCTTTAAACTTCTAATTTCTTATTCTTTTCTTCCTAACTTTTCCTTTAAACTTCTAATCTCTTATTCTTTTCTTCTTTTCCTTTCCCTTTAAACTTCTAAGCTCTGAGTCTTTTCTTCTAATCTCTATCCCTTTCAACTTCTAATCTTTTTTTCTTACTTCTTAGTCTTTTCCTTTAAACTTCTAATCTCTCATTCTTTTCTTCTTTATCTTTCCGTTTAAACTTCTAATCTCTGAGTCTTTTCTTTATCTTTCCTTTAAAATTTTAATCTCTTTTTCTTTTCTTCTTTATCTTTCCTTTAAACTTCTAATCTCTTATTCTTTTCATCTTAACCTTTCCCTTTAAGCTTCTAATCTCTTATTCTTTTTATATTACCCTTTCCCTTTAAACTTCTTATCTCCTTTTCGTTTCTTCTTAACTTTTCCTTTAAACTTCTAATCTCTTATTCTTTTCTTCTTATCCTTTTCCTTTAAACTTCTAATCTCTTATTCTTTTCTCCTTAACCTTTCCCTTTAAACTTCTAATCTATTTTTCTTTTCTTCTTAGTCTTTCCCTTTAAACTTCTAATATCTTATTATTTTCTTCTTAACTTTCCCTTTAAGCTTCTTATCTCTAATTCTTTTTTTCTTAACCTTTCCTTTTAAACTTCTAATCTCTTTTCTTTAGTTTTCTCCACCTTTTTAAGGCCGGTTATAGTTGGTATTAAACTATTGAATTTGATGTTTTATATTAACCGTGTAATCTGCTTTACAGATTGAAAAATCAATTAAACTTGAATTTAGCAGTCATAAAATAAACATTCTATGTAGATATATTTCTATTTAGATCCAAATGTTTAGTATTCCAGCCCTTCCCCCCCCCCCTTTCTTCGTAGAATTCTTCCTTCTCCATCCCCCCTTTTTTACAATGTGCTCAACAATATTTTCTCCAAAAGCTGTGGAAAATATTATTTATTAAATTTTTGATATTTCATTTTATGACAAATATTTTGTAAACAAAAATCCAATAACGTACATTAAATTTTATCCAGTCTGGGAAATTTTTCTCATGATCTAAACTGACTAGATGATTATACCTAGAAGTCTTTATTAAATTTAGTCAAGAAATGATTTAATAATCAAAAACCCTTGCAAAAGTTGGAAATCAAATGTTGAATTTAAAAAATAATAGCCTAAAATATAGAAATATATATTTTAAGTATGGAATTGTTTAGGCTGACTGATGACCATCTGAATCACCTTGAATTCATAAATACATTTTTTTAAATTATTCATTCTATATATGTTCGTTAACGAGGGCAGTATATAAGCTCTCTATTCTAGTGCCGGACCTATAATGTCTGTAACCATATTCCTGGAAATTGTGTAGTTTCGAGATAGCTCTGGAATATGTTAAGGACAAATTTTCAACAACCCTTAACGGCTCCAGCCGTTAACAGTCTATTACGGTATTAGAGAAGAATAGTGCTACTGGTGGCGCAACAGCAGTACAATGATGAATACAGCTAGTACTTTGTGCTTAACTAGCTATAATAGTGGGGCTATGGGAATTGATAAACAGAACTTTATAAGTTTGCTATCTTGGTTCTCAGACATTTCATGCATTCATGATAAATATGTTATGTAGTGATTAAAAATCAATGTTTTCTATTTGTGCATAATTTTGCATATTTTTTCTCTTTTCTTTTGGAAACCTGTATTTTCAAAAAAAATTTATTTAAACAAATTTAAACTACACCATTTATATATGTATTTATATCTTTGTGTGTGAATAAATCTTTATAATATAATATAATGGCCTTAAAGGGGCGAAGCAGCGAAAAAAATTTCGTTAACGGTTTATGAAATTGTTAATGGTTATGAATACAAGAGACGACAGTTATAAACAATAAATTACATACAATTTTTTTTCTTTTTTTTACAAGTTTCTTTCAATTTCAAGCAGAAAGAAGACAAAATTCACATTTAAAAAAAAAAACTTTCGTTTTCGTTTTCAACCTCATTTTTTTGGTTTAAAAACAGCTAAGCCTTTTTGTTAATGATTTAAAAATTAAAGGTTTTTGCCGTTTGTTAACAGACTCTTCCGTTAATTTTCAAAAACCTCCACTTTATCAGTGGAACTTTGCCTAGCCCTAACTTTCTCATTTGTGCTATATCAACAGCTGGTTTCCTTCAGTTTATTTTTTATAGCTGTGTGTAAAAGATCAATTTGTATGTACATAAGTTCATTATGGATTCTGGAAGATATTCTCGGCCCTTGAAAAACATAGCAAAACAAATATGTCTTCATCATTTTTTTTCAAATTGTAGCCTTCCTTTATTTATTAATGATCTACAAAGGGTTCAGTTGTTCGTTAAGAATAAGGTTTTTAACAATGGTTAATTGTTAGCAGTAGTTGATCTTTAATGATATTTGAATGTTAATAGTTATTGATTTTTAACAATGGTTGATTGTTAATGATAGATGATCTTTAAGGTCTGAACTTTATGATTTTGATTGTTATATAAGTGCACAATGTAGAAATATTACTATAGCCAAGAAGGTTTCTTGTTAGATATAAAGGGATTTATAGGTCAGTTTTGAATAATTTAAATAACGTTTTTTTTTAGTTTGTTAACGATGAAAAAAAATCTGAAAACGAAACAATCATTTTGAAAACTATTGTTTTTAAAAACTATCGTCTTTAAAAGGGAGGAAACAAAGTTTTGATAGTTTTTAAGAAGAAAAAACGAAACAGTTGTTCTGGAAAACAATAGTTTTCAAAAAATTGTTTTCAAAAATGGAAAAGGATAGTTTAGGATTAAAAATGATTGTTTTGGAATAAAAACGATCATTTTGGAATAAAAATGAAAGATTTGAAAATAATTTTTTTGAAAAATCCAAAATGAAACTAAAAACGATAGTTTTTCCTATCGTTTTTGAAAACGATGCCCATCCCTATAAATGTATAGATGACTATCCCTATAGATGTATAGATGCCCATCCCTATGTATATAGATGCCTATCCCTATAGATGTATATAAGTGATCATGAGAGACAGGGGTTGGGTGCTTTGAGGCAAAGTAAGCATGAAGGTTTGGAATCATGATGTTTTATGCAAATGGGGTTGTTAATCGTTTATGAAAACAATAGTTTCATTTTTTGCTTTTTCATAACAAAACGATCGTTTTAAAATAAATCCATCCCAACATGCAAATGACCCCTTATGTATATATTTCTATTCATGCAAAAACAGTTTGGTCATTTTAATCTACTCCTTGTATGTAAGAATGATATGCTGTTGCACGTTTCTCAACATTGATTAGTGTCATATTTGTTTGTCATGTCAAAACACACTTTCTTAATAATTTTTATTTCTGAGTTCCAAATATGCAATACAGATTTAAGCCTAAATAAGTGTTTACTCCAGAGATCTGTCAAACAAAACTTGATCATTCTAGTTGGTGGAGATAATACTGTCCGCATAAGGAAACAATGGTTTTTGGATGTAAGCAATGCTTCGTCTTCTAGTTATGGTTCCTTGATCTCGTACTAATTCTCTTAGCTTTTCTGCTTGTTCCAAGATTCCTAACTCTTTGTTTACAAATCCTATAGGTTCCACTTCTTTCTTGATTATTTCAGATGTGCTACAGATTGTTGTTGTTTCAGAGTGAGAAGAAGATGAATTTTTGATTGGAACATTTCGCACCATAGTTGTTGATATTACACTTGAAAAGCTAATGACTGACATGCTAAAGTAAAATAATACTTAAACCAATTGGTTTATTCATTTTCATTATGTTATAGTACCTGATATAATATGGAAGATAAGAATCTGTATAAGAAAATACTAGAGTATTAAGAACACCAACAGTGCCATAGGAAAATGACTCAGAAAGACCTGGGAAAAAAAGGAAAGCAAATGCTAAGTGTTTTAACCCTATTCCTGCTGGGGTTGGGACAATTTGACCCCCCCCCCTGTAGTTTCTTTTACATAATTCAAAAAGTATTGGTATGAGGCTGTTCTTACATACCCAAAGCCCTCCCTTTCGACCTAAAAGTGGGCTTTAATACTAACTGCCTGAGTCCTCAGGCACACTGCCTGAATGACTGTTTTTTCCTGTAACAAACTAAATCTTTGCTTTGACCCACTTCCACTTGTCAGATTTTGATAAAATTTAGCTTTTTGGAAAGCCTTTTACATAAGGAAACGAATTGCACAAGTGTTGCGTATAATTTTTCAGTTTTTGAAAAATTTAAACATTTTTAATATATTACTGTATTTTGCGATAAAAAATTCAATATTTTGCAAATTTGCAAATTTTTTGGCAGATTCTAAAATTAAAGCACAATAGCTTTTCAATGATGTATCATTTGTCATATTTTGACATCAAACATGGGATTTAGAGGAGGTGGGGTCAAATTGACCCCCCCCCTGGTTTTCAAGTACCCCAGCAGAGATAGGAATAACAGAGTAATAGGACGTATTACTCAGTTAACAGAGTATTAGGACATATAACTCAGTTAACAGAGTATTAGGACATATAACTCAGTTAACAGAATATTAGGACATATAACTCAGTTAACAGAGTAATAGGAAATATAACTCAGTTAACGGAGTAATAAGACATATAACTCAGTTAACAGAGTAATAGGACATATAACTCAGTTAACAGAGAGTAATAGGACATATAACTCAGTTAATAGAGTATTAGGACATATAAATCAGTTAACAGAGTAATAGGACATAAAACTCATTTAACGGAGTAATAGGACATATAACCCAGTTAACAGAGTAATCACTCAGTTAACAGAGTATTAGGACATATAACTCAGTTAACAGAGTAATAGAACATATAACTCAGTTAACAAAGTAATACATATCACTCAGTTAACAGAGTATTAGGACATATAACTCAGTTAACAGAATAATAGGACATATCACTCTGTTAACAGAGTAATGCATATCACTCAGTTAACAGAGTAAAAGGACATATAACTCAGTTAACAGAGTAATAGGACATAAAACTCAGTTAACAGAGTAATAGAACATATAACTCAGTTAACAGAGTATTAGGACGTATAACTCAGTTAACAGAGTAATAGTACAGATAAATCAGTTAACAGAGTAATAGGACATATCACTCTGTTAACAGAGTAATACATATCACTCAGTTAACAGAGTAATAGGACATATAACTCAGTTAACAGAGTAATAGGACATAAAACTCAGTTAACAGAGTAATAGAACATATAACTCAGTTAACATAGTATTAGGACATATAACTCAGTTAACAGAGTAAAAGGAAAGATAACTCAGTTAACAGAGTAATACATATTACTCAGTTTACAGAGTAATAGGATATAAAACTCAGTTAACAGAGTAATAGAACATATAACTCAGTTAACAGAGTAATAGGACATATAACTCAGTTAACAGAGTAATAGGACATATAACTCAGTTAACAGAGTAATAGGACATATCACTAAGTTAACAGAGTAATAGAACATATCACTCGGTTAAAGGAGTAATAGGACATATCACTCAGTTAACAGAGTAATAGAACATATCACTCAGTTAACAGAGTAATAGGACATATCACTCAGTTAACAGAGTAATAGAACATATCACTCAGTTAACAGAGTAATTGGACATATCACTCAGTTAACAGAGTAACAGGACATATTTACTATTATTCTCACCGATAAATCCGAGAACAGCACTACAATGTTTTCCATCATAAAGTTTCATAACCTGAAAAATTAAAATATTTTTAATACAGTATAGGAGAGAAGAGTAAGTAGTGCGGAAAGTATTTACAATAGTATAAATAACAATGCAAAAGAACTTTAAAAAGATTATGCTAGTATACTTGAGCAGGTATAGTAGAGAAATGTATAAAAGCCAAAAAATATCCAAGCCATAAAAGAGCCACAAACCCATAAAAGGACATTTGGGATACTGGTACAGTTATAGCCAACACCACAGTTAAAAGAATTCCGACCACAGGCATTAAACGATTAAACATAAACCTAAATAATAGAGATATGTTCAATAAGAATAAGTTTCTTTGTTGATGATTGTCCATGAGTTTGAAATATGCTATGGTGCTGCAAATAAAGTTATAAATGAAGATTTGAAAATGATTTGGACAACATTTGTTCCAAAGAGGTCTTAGGAAAAGAAACTGATTAATTTGCTTCATTAACCCTTTTTAAAACAAATGCTTACCCTCCTTTTTGAGGTTCCAATCTCTAGAATATGCTTAAATGGATAAAGTTTGAGTGTACAGATGAAATATTTAGGCTGTCACAAGCAATGTAATCATGTTCAGGGAAAAAGCTAATGAATGGTGTCTGGATAAAGTTAACTTAACAAAAAGAGGTCTGAGATGTCTAGAACTTTGTTGAACATACTTCATAGTATCATTAAACCTTTTTTTAAAGCAAGAATTTCATATTCACCTATCAATCAATATTCCTGCTAGAATTCTTGCAACACAGCTTAAAACACCATTTACACCTAAAGGGTTTAGAAAACTCCTTTCAGAAAATTAAGAATTTCACTTTTGTTCTAAAAGTATATTCTCTTAAGTGATTAGACTATTTAAAGTCATAACTTAAGTTTAAAAGTTGACTACCTATTTTAATTAATCTGGTTCTTACTGCAAACATATGGCTTTCTTAAAGTGACAAACTTCATTTTGAAACAACATAAATGTGTTTATCTTTACAAAAAACAAACTTATATAAGTGAAAACAGGAACTACTTTGAATCTTTCTTCAAAATTTCAAAATTTAGTTTATAATTGCTTTCATTGTTAAATTTAAAATTCCTCACCTCCAATGACAGATATTATTTGGTCGTCAGAGCTTAGTCTTAGGCTAATACACGTTAAATAGCATTTAGTTCCAAAGAGAGAAATGTTTTATTTAAACTTTGATTTTCCTGATTTTCTGGTCACATTAAATCTAAATTTTTCTTTCCAATTTTTCCTTCTTGTACTTATTGTCTCTGTTTTAATTCTACATTTTTATTATCCAAACTAACCTATACAACCCCCCTTCCACCTTAATTTGAAATTTATGCTATATCCCTAAATCCCTTCCAATGAGCCAACAGGCCTCCACCAACAGCAAGTAGTGCATACCTTTAATCAATTGTATTTCTAATGAATGTTAACTTAAATGTATTTATTATTGTTACCTAGAATATGCCAAAATATAAGTGTCCCTATTCCTCAAACCAGTAGTATAAAGATAGCTACCAGATTCAACAATTCTTAAAGGAACAATTAAAACTCAATAAACTTTCAACTTAGAATATAAGCTTTCGAATGGCAACAGTAAAATATTTGTAAAAATCACATGTTTTTATGTTACTTACCTTGCTTTTACAAGTTGTGATCTACTTTCCTTTGAAGTTACTTTTGCAACCCTACCCTCTGTATTTGTGTACTCAACGCAAAGTAAAAATCCAACACCAAACAGGGCTGCATATATTGCAGCCAAATAAAGTAATGATATGGGAATTCTAAAATATTGACATTTTCATTAAAATTTTTTTGAAAATCTTCAAATTGTACTTCTAAAATATCTTGTATTTATTCACCTTTCAAGAACCCTTGGATCTGTAAAATATCTAGCAGTTGAGTTTGATCCAATTATTGCAACAGGTGCTATATTATCTAAAAATCTATTTTGAAGGGGGTGGTATGTAAAAGAAACATTTTCAATTGTTTTTATATATTTGTTAATACAATGCAATTTGGATGATTTGGATATATGTCATTGTTATCATAAACTCAGTTCTTTGAAAGAACAATCACAACTTGAAATTTCTTGAAACCTGGATTAATTATTGCAGTTTGGAGAGGAGAAAAAATTGCAGAACTAAATCCAAATCCAGCAGATGTCACTCCCATAACTTTTCCCTTACTAAATACACATGCTGAACTTAATCAAATTTACACTATTCTGGCATACTCCTGAGTCCTCAGGCATCCTGCCTAAATGCCTTATTTTACCTTTACCCGACTACATCTTTATTTAGATGTACTTTCGGTCATTGGATTTCAACTTTTTATAGCTCTCAGAAAAGCCTTGTAAAAAATGAAGCAGATTTTTCAATTTGTGCACAGATGCCTTTAAAGAAAATTTGCACATTTGAGTTTTCCTTAAAAACAAATTAAGCTTTTAAAAAATTTTGCAAATATTTTGGAATATTTGAATTTGCGGTGGTAAGAGTGTTTCAAAATTGCTTATATTTTGCACACTTTTTGTTTTTGCACATTTTTGCTTAATAACACAATATGTTGCAAATGTTTTAGATTTGTATCACAATAAGGAAAGACTATTTGGGTAAACTAGACATCTGCCTGAATAGCTTTTTAACTTTTTTTCTGTTAACTTTGTTTCTTGAACATATACAAACATTATTGTATTTTATCTGCTGATTTACCTATTTGGAAACCAAGAGACGGGAATAAGTTGACTTGGTAGTACAATAAGATTGAATACAACTGCAGACATCACTCCATACCTAAGTCATCACTTTCTTCTGTTGGATTGATTTTTTTACTTTTCATGGTTTTTGATCAGTAAGTTTTAATAAATTTGGAGGATATTGTTACAAATAAAAAATTTAATGCAAATAAAACCGTAGCCAGTTTTTAAATCATATATGTAAATTATTTTTAAGGTACTAATCAACAATATAAAATAGAAAACACAATTTGTAAAATTGATCCTGTCAGATTTCCAAAATCCACTGGCAATAGATGCAGCTTCAATCCTTTTAATCTCGCAGGGTGATCCCATCAGTTACAATGAGCTGGTCTTTGTGATCACCTTTGAAGCTTCCACACAACTGATTCCTCCCCCTCTCTGTTCCCCTTGCATCTCAGTGAGTCAATAAAACTTTAACTGCAGCTTTGCCTCTGCTGGTTTCTTCTTACAATCATTTTTTCAAAAAAGTGAAAACTTTCCATTCTTTCCCCCAGCTTAAATGCAATCTGAGCCAAACCCCCAGCTTTAATGCTATCTGAGCCCCACCCCCAGCTTTCTGAACCCTAGCAACCAGCAATAATGCTGTCTGAACCCAGCCACAAGCTATAATGTGGTCTGATCCCCACCCCCAGCTATAATACTTTCTGAACCCTAGCCCTAGCAATAATGCTGTCTGAACCAGACCACAAGCTATAATGCTGTCTGATCCCCACCCCCAGCTATAATACTTTCTGAACCCTAGCCCCAGCAATAATGCTGTCTGAGCCCTACCCCCATCTAAAATGCTGTCTGATCCCCACTCCAAGCTGAACAGCTAGCCCCAAGCTTTAATGCTTTTCTGAACCCCACCCCAAGCAGCAAGCTATAATGATGTCTGATCCCCCCCCAGTAATAATGGAGTCTGGGCCCTGCCACCAGGTATAATGCTGTCTAAGCCCGACCCCCATCTAGTGATGTCTGATCCCCACTTCAAGCTGAACCTAGCCCCAAGCTGGGTAATGTTGATCCGCTCTACTGCCCATCCGTCCTATTGCCCATCCGCTATACTGCAACATCTGACCTACGACAGTTGTAGGTCGGATGGGCATATCTTCTTGCCCATCCGACCTATTCAGCAGCTTTTGTCATGATAGCGCAGTAGGGTAGAAATAATTAATTGTAGCTGTCGGACAGTCAATCAATTTTGTAGGTCAGATGGGCACTTTTTGTAGGTCGGATGGGCATTTTTCGTAGGTCAGATGGGCATTTTTCGTAGGTCGGATGGGCACTTTTTGTAGGTCGGATGGGCATTTTTCGTAGGTCGGATGGGCATTTTTCGTAGGTCGGATGGGCATTTTTCGTAGGTCGGATGGGCATTTTTTGTAGGTCGGATGGGCATTTTTCGTAGGTCGGATGGGCACTTTTCGTAGGTCGGATGGGTATTTTTCGTAGGTCGGATGGGCACTTTTCGTAGGTCGGATGGGCACTTTTCGTAGGTCGGATGGGCATTTTTCGTAGGTCGGATGGGCATATTTCGTAGGTTGGATGGGCATATATCGTAGGTCGGATGGGCACTTTTTGTAAGGGGGACGAGCGCTGCGGCAATGAAAGACCTATAATTTTAACAATTTTTAATAAAATTAGTGTATATTTAAGGTTAGATTAGGTTAAGCTAATTTCTGGGCCGAGCGCTGCGGCTAGGACGGGCTAGGGGGCTGAGCGCTGCGGCCATGAAAGACCTTTACTTCAACAGTTTTTAATAGAATTAGTGAATATTTAGGGTTAGGTTAGGTTAAGCTCATTTCTGGGCCGAGCTAGGGGGCCGAGCGCTGCGGCCACATGTCTGGGCCGACCTACAAAAAACCATCCGACCTACGAAAAATGCCCATCCGACCTACAAAAAATGTGCCCATCCCACCTACGAAAAATGCCCATCCGACCTATGAAAAATGCCCATCCGACCTACGAAAAGTGCCCATCCGACCTACAAAAAATGCCCATCCGACCTACGAAAAATGTGCCCATCCGACCTACGAAAAATGCCCATCTGACCTACGAAAAATGCCCATCGGACCTACGAAAAGTGCCCATCCGACCTATGAAAAATGCCCATCCGACCTACGAAAAATGCCCATCCGACCTACGAAAAATGCCCATCCGACCTACGAAAAAGGCCCATCAGACCTACTAACGTGTCCAAGCGACAGCTTAAAGTAGGTCGGATGCACCAATATGCTGTTTTTAACGTGCCCATCCGACCTACAGTGCATCGGACCTACCACAGCTGTTAAAACCACGTGCTTGTAGGTCTGATGGGCAGTAGAGGGGATGGGCGTAGGTCCAAAAATACCCCAAGCTGTAATGCTGTCTGAACCCCACCCCAAGCAGCAAGCTATGATGATGTCTGATCCCCACCCCCAGTAATAATGGAGTCTGGGCCCTGCTCCAAGCATGTCGCTTTTGGATTGAACCATGCTAACCTAAATGTGGGACAGTTTGTATATTCTGCCCAAAAATGCTGATTGAAAACAACTTCCTATGAACTCATTGTTAATTTAACAGAAAACCCACATTTCTCTCGGATTCAACCAATATGGAAAACCTATTTAAGTATTCAGGTTAGAATTGATACCAAAACACACATGCACATGAACTCTAATGTTACTTGCTTGAAGAAAAATTAGGAATACATAGTGTTAATAACTCATTATAAAGAAGGTAATATGTTAAAAGAAGGTACAATATATTCACTGCCATCCGAGAATATCAAAGATTATGAAAGTGTTACCAAATTTGTACCAGTCAGACCCTATCCTTGAACTGTTTCGGGATTAACTCCATTTCCACCCCAAGAATGGTTATTTTTCAGAATTTCATTACAGGTACAACATTTAAAAAGGGATTTTTGCCACATTCGATTGGTGTGTCCTGTAACTGGGATTTACATGTTTCTAGTTTGTAGTACTTATACTAGAATTATATACTTACGAGAATGTTAGTGCTGATAAGGAGTGTCCAATTGTAAAATAGCTGATTAATGGGGAGGAACAAAAACAAATAATTCCACACATTAGAGAAAGCCTGTATCCTAGCCATGGTATGATCACACTGCCAGCTACAAAGTGTAGAATCATTATTAAGTGAAAAATGAAAAACTTTAAATATATTGCTTAAAATACTGAATGAAATTTTTGTCAGAATTTGCTTAAATGACTGTAGAAACATTTATTGGAACATTTTCTTATAGCACTGTAAATGTAAAGCAACATACTGTTATTTGGATGTAATGTATTAACCCTATCCCTGCTGGGGTACTTAAAAACCAGAATACGCTGGGGGGGGGTCAATTTGACCCCCCCCCCCTCTAAATCCCATGTTTTACCCCAGCGGGAATAGGGTTAACTTACTAAAAATGTAGTTTACAATGAAAAGGCCAATCTTGAATCTTAATAATACTATATTTATTTGGAATTGAACTGCTGATGCGATGGCATGTATTCAAAATTGTTAATCTGAGGAAATATCTGATCATTTAATCTATGGTTATCAAGAATTTTCTTTAAAAAACAAGTTGATTACCTATAAAAGAACCAACTCCTTGAGTCATTCCTCCTGCTGCCAACACAATACCAAGGTCTTCATTGGTTATATTAGCATCATACTAAACATTTTTGTATGCAAAAATATTTAGGATTCTTCACCAACATTCAGAAAATTATATTTTAGTAAAATTATAGGACCCCACCCTAAAACTTGCATGATCTAAGCCGCTTCAAAATCCATTCACTTTTAATGTCCAGTTTGACTATCAAGTGCATAGCCAACTCAGCATGTTTTTGTAACAACTGTAGCCTGGCAAAATCACTTGAAAGATGTGTTAAGACCACATTTAAATTATGTGGTCTAAAAAAGGAAACATGTTTTACCTGTCTCATATAGGAAGCAAAGTAGGGAGCCAAGTTTCCAATAGTTCCATGAAAGGATCCAGCAGTTATTAGGATAACAAAAGCTATGAAAAGTTTACTTAATCTTAAATTTGATAAAACTCAATTAATTTCTTGTCTTCTTACCTCCTAAGACGGAGAGTATTCCGCGGAACCTATTAAACTTTTCAATGTCACAAAGAGCTAACATCATGATCTAGAACCGAAAAAAAAAACAAGAAGGTATGTTTAAACAGTTTTTTGATATCTTATTTTCTTATAGGTACTTTTAGGCAACACAGTCTTGTATTTTGTTCAATTCACTTTGTTGGACCAAATAATGCCAATCAGGTAATATATTGGATGCCATTAACTTTATCCCGAAGCTGTTAATATGTTTTGTCATAGAAATAATATCTCAGCTGTAATCAAAATTTGTATTTAATCAAGTTCTAGAGGCTTAATAACATTATCAAGATGAATTCCTTAGGATGTAAAATATGTTTAAAGTTTTTTTTACAGTTACATTCTACTTTTGAGAAAACAAATAAGTATCTATTTTCAAGGCCTCTGCCTGTTATGCAGCTGTGGAGAATGGCTCTTAAATCCCAACTATTAAATGACAAGGTATGAGTAACATAAATCTAAATTAATAGATACAAGCATCGTTAAATTTTATCCCATTCAGGCCTCAGCTTAAGAACATCATTTGGAGTTTTCTAAAAACTAAATGAACATAATGTTAGTATGTAAACATAGCAAATTAGCAATTTTGGCATTTAATCAATAAATATGAAAACAACATAAGATTAGACTTGTGTTTTGACAATGGTGACTAGAACTACGTACTATTATTAAGATTCAGTCAGAAGCGATAAATGTTCATTTACTTTCTTCCTGGCTATCTAAAGTAAAATTATCACTCTTATATAACCTTTTGGAGTTTTGATATTCATTAATGTGAGGTAAACTCAAGATCAAATATCAGAATTGTATAACCTTATTATTCAATAAACTATTTCAGTCTTAAAATTTTGAAAGCAAAGATGTGTGTTTTATAAAATTACTAGCTAAATTAGCAATAACGCTTGTTTTTCGGCTATGCACTTCTGCAATAAGTTTTCTTGTAACTTTTCTAGAGCAGAAGTCTTGCCCAATATCTAATTCATGGAACTAGTCCTAAACAGACCAATTGAGCTTTATTTTGCTTCTTATAAATCAATCAATTTGCATTAAATGCTTAACTTGGCATATAATCAAATAGGTAACCCTTGCCTATTTAGTTGATCTTCAAAATTATTAATCCTTTAAATGCTACGGCGTCTGAATCTAAATATAACCAGGGGGGGGGGTTTAAGGCGAGCTCATAGAACAAAAAGTTAGACTGCCAACTTTACTAGTTTGGGTGCTAGGGAAGGGGCCTGTTAGTAAGGAATTCAGCCATCCCTCAAAGGGTCGGGTTTCATACCCCCCTCTGTGCATTACCCCCGATCGTAAATCATTTTAAGATTTGTTTGCCCTCTTGTGTCTTATGAATTTTAAAAGCTAGTGTAAAAAAACGTCAATTTGAATTATCAGCGTTTAGATGTCACTCAGACAAAAGCATGTCATTGATAAGCGACTCCAAAGGTTGCCTTTACCAGAACTCTTTGAAAATGTGTCCTTTTTTAGTGTAGACATTTTACCATAGAGCAAGCCATAGTTTGATATGTTTAAGAAAGAGTGTTAAAAGATATATAAAACATCCTGAGAAAATTTAGTGCATTTTCTTCATGAAATTCTTATATTAAGAAAAAAATAAAATTATTTTAAACCCAAATCCTTCACTTCTAAATTATGAACTTTTATTAAGAAATTTGAATCTTAAATTTCTCCCTTTTTTATTTTACAGAAAACTTTTAGAGACACTTAGCGGTAAAAATAGAAATGAAAAAGATTTAAGTTTTAAGTCAACAGCTTGTATATTATACAAACTGTTACGCAAACCATCCGGAGAGCATTAGATCTGGACCTGAACGGGTCTTTAGAGGAAGTGATATCAAGACTGTCTGCAGAAGGATTGAATGCTGATAATCAGAAGGATCAATGGGCAAGATTGATGACTCAGCGCCAGAATATTGTTGAGGAGAAGGTTAACAACATCATCAGTAATCTTAATAATACTATATTTATTTGGAATTGAACTGCTGATGCGATGGCATGTATTCAAAATTGTTAATCTGAGGAAATATCTGATCATTTAAT